GTCCTGATTATCAAAGTGTCCTATCAAATAGCACACCTGAGGACAAGGAGAGACATTGTGAGTCTTTCCCTTCCCATATCCTGACCCCTAAAAGAACTAGACACCCCAGAATTCTCACTCAGTGGAGTTGGCATTAGACACAGAAGGGTCCGCAGCATCTCCATGTTGCCTGCAGGATGAAGACCTCCATTCCCAACCTTCAGGTGACAGAGATTTCTTGTTCTAGCACCTAGGATGATTTTCATGTGTGAATCAGGGGCTGTATCAGGGACTGAGCTGGGATCCTCATATCTGGCCCTGATGTGTGGGAGTTGATGAATGTGGCACTGCTGATGTGGGATTCTGTTGGGAGCCGCGGCCGACACCGGTCGTTTTACTTGGCGGACGTGAGGCCTGTAAGGAAGGAGCAAAGCCTGAGCTAAATTACCCCTCCCATCGAGTGAGCCAAGTTGGCGCCTGCTTCCTGCCCCCTGATTGCCCTGGTGACGTAAGCAGCCCACGCAATAGAATAGTCTGCCTAGCAACAACTGATGTTAGCCAATCAGCCCGCATCACGCGCTTTGAACTGATTGGCCACTGTTACCCTATAAAAGTGAATGCCTCTCCCGCCACGAGAGAGAAGCACAGAGAGAGATAGAGAAAGTCCACCGGCGAGAAAGGGCTGGTGGCAGAGCGGAGGCCTCGCGGGGCCCACGCGGAGACAAATAAAGACAAGGTTGCACACCGCCAGACTTTGTCGTGTGTCTTTCCTGCCGGCTGGGAGCAACACCGACAGGATTCAGCCCTGGCAGATGTATTCTCTGTTTTGTGGCTTTGCACGATGTCAAGCTGTATGTAATGATCATGTAAAGAAAATAATGAGCATTTCGGTTTGTCTTCTGTCAGCCCATCATTCTGTGGCTTTTATACTAATTCTGGAGGAAATCCTTTATGAAAGTGATTTTACTACTGGTGCTACTGGTGGTCTCTACCTTGGCCCCTATGCATGGAACTGTTTCATCCATGTTAGTCATAATTCATATTGATATCTTCTCCAGGATTTTTTTCTACACAAGTGAATACTGTGATGTCTCTGATATAAGATAATTACCTAGTGCATGCCAAATTTTTAGCCAGATTCTGGTGGCTGAGTTCATATCTGGGGGCTTCTGGGAGAACATGGTGTACAGATAGCAGCAGCTACCGAGGCTCTCTGAGAGACCCAGCTTAGAATCCAGGAATGCTGTGGATTGAGGAATCCTAAGCAAGAGGAGATATACCCTGCTGACCCAAGAATGAACTGGGCTAAGAGAAACCAACTGGGGTTGGGTGAGAAAAACCAACTGGGAATGCAATCCTGGTGCTATAACAGGAACAGATAAAGCCTCAGAATGGAAGCTGGAGCCTGTGCCATTGGAAGCTGTGATTGGGGTTTCCTGCCACCGCTGCTGTGTCTGAATCGGCTTGGCAGGGAGAAAGACGTGCAAAAGCTCTGCGAATGGGAATCGGTGAATGGAGTTGAGAGCAGGACGGGTGGGGAGCCATGCATCAACTGGCGATGAGTGAGGGACCTGGGGACTCTTCCATGGTCTAGGAGGCTCCAACAGAGGACATTCTGGGAATGGGAAGACTTGCCAGAACAGCACGCTGTAGTGACTTCAGTCACATGTCCCCCTCTCAAGTGGGATTGGTGAGCAGTGCCTAGCCTATGTGATGTTGCTGGCTGAGACCCAGTAGGCTAACACAACCCAAGTCCCAGCCCCTGAAGGTAGATTGACCTGGAGGGGCAGGCCGCAACAGGGAAGGAAGCTGGGCCTCCTATGTATCCTTGTATATAAGGAACAAAGAATAGGGGAAGAGAGAGCAACAGGAAAGGCTCCTCTGCCCCCAATCCTGAGAAACAGGCAATAGCAGACATGGCACCAATAGACATAAAGTGCTACCTCCAGAGCCTCATAGACAAGTTCAGGAAGGGAGTTATTAATGACCTGAAGCAAGACATAAGCAGAATAGTTGGAGAAATATTAAGCACCACCCAAGAAAAAACAGATGGTGGAATGGAAGAACAAAAAAAAGGGGGGAGAATTGTTTGATAGAGAAAACATAGAATACGGGAAACAGGTTCAAACAGATTACCAGGAAACGAAAAACTCCATCAAAAACTGGCATAACAGCTTGAAAGAAACTAAGGATAGACTATCTGAACTGGAGGGCAGATTTGTAATATGGGAGCATGAAATGAAAAACTTCTTAAAAATAACAAAGAAACAAACAGCCATAATACAAAGGCTAGAAGATGATAAGAGGAACTATAAATTAAGAATTAAGAACATAAAAGAAGTAGGGACACAAAAAAATGAACTACAAAAGCTACCCGCAGAAATAATCCAAGAGAATTTTCCTAATTTAGCAAAAAGTAAAGATACTCATATGTGTGAAGCATACAGGACTCCATCCACCTACAACCCAAACAGAGATACACCCAGGCATCTAATAATCAAAATACCAGAAATCCAATATAAGAACAGAATATTAAAAGCCATCAGAGACAAGAAACAGATCACTTAAAAGGGACCACCCATAAGATCTACAGCATTCTTTTTGGCACAAACCATGAAATCATGAAGAGCGTGGAGGGAAATAATTCAAGCTTTGAAAGATAATATCCTCCAGCCAAGATTGATATATCCTGCACAACTATCCCTGGAAATTGATGGAAAAACAAGGTGCTTCCAGGATAAAGAGGAACTAGGGGAATATGTAACCACCAATTCAACCCTACAGAGAATACTGCAGGATATTCTAAAAAAGAAAAATACCAAGAATCCAGAAATAGTGTCAGAGAGGCCACAATGAATGAAGCAGAAAACAAAACGAAGAAGACAAACTGACAACTAATGACAGAAATAGATCTCCACAGAAATGTGGCAGAGAAGATTGGATGATAGAAACAGCTATTTTGGAGGAAATGACATCATAATATGTAATGATGATTTAATATCATCTTGTTTTGAAGTCCCATCAAGCTTTTGTTCTGTTTCCATAAGTCTTAATGTGTTGTATCTTACTGGATTTTATTATATGTGATAGTATAAACAAAAACTTTTATATACAAGGAGATTATACAGAAACCCTTGTTCATTTTCTGTTACCCTGATAATGATCCCCAGCCAAAATCTTCACAACACATCGATTTTCTCATCTGGTCCTTTGTATCATGCTCCAAAATATAGATACTCTGCCACTGTGAAGACTTGTGACAAAAGCCTCAACACTAACTCGGGTGTATAATGGAAGAGTAGGGAAATGAGCTAAATAAGAAAAACACTTTCAGGGAGCAGAGGGAATTGTAATAATCTGTGTGTATCTATATTCAGATGGTGAGAGTGATCTGACACCTTCAATTGAGAGCACAATGTCAATGGAAGGAAGGTGCATAGAAGAGCAAATGAACTTTTATCAAATTTAGAAAAACCAATACTTGAGGACAAGAAACTATGTGACTCTTTCAGAAAGCAAAATGGACATACTTTAAAAATAAAGCACATCATTATTCAGAGCATTTCAGTCTACTTTTGTCCCACATTTCTTTATCTTTTCATATATTGAATGAGACTGTTCTTGGTCATATGGGGCAGTTATGAGTTAAGAAGAAAAAAATAATTTCATGCCAATGTTTGTCGAATATAACTTTTTGTTTTATTTTATTTGAATTTCTTTAAATGTATCCTAAAATCATGAAGTTTTTAATTATCTTAGGGAAAACATGTGATGTTCAAATACATGTAAAACTCATGCTGAATATAAATCAGGAGAAGCATTTTTAACCTTTATGTTAAAATCATTCCAACTCTGTTCTGCTAGCTTTGTGAAATTCACAGTGTGGAACTGTTACCATACTGATCTCAATTTGCAAAAGCAACTAGCACCTCCTGCTCCATAGAACAGTCCTTCAGTACTCATTCACCAATATCTCCCTTCTTCCCCTCAGTCCCTTTTTTAGTCTGTCAGAATGTATTCTTTGATACTGTGAATTGAGCAACTATTTCTAAGATGATAATATGTAATCTATTAACAGGTGATTTCTTATTGTTTTTTTTTGTAGTTCTGTATTACGTGTACCCTTACACCGCTTTGTTTTGTTTTGTGCTTTTCTCTTTTTCCTCTTAAATAAAAAAAAAAAACCTGAGGCGTATTCTTCACTGTGGTGTGCTTTCTGATGAAGTCTGCTGTGCATCTCAGTATCTTCTATGTAGTTTTGTCTTGTTGAGCTCCCAGCAGCAAGGAGTGTGAGTTTCTACTGCTCAGCAGGTTAGCAGGCTGGTAACATCTTGTGAGACTGGATTCACTGAAAAAAGCATTTTGTGCTTTCTTGATAATTAATTGGGGTTTCCATAACTAAAATAATAGCAATTTGGCATTCACATGACTATTTGCCATCTACATATCTTGTTTAATATTGTGTCACTCAGATATTTTACTTATGGTTTTCAGGAATGTCAACAGAATAGCTTGTAATATGTAGTGGTTTCTCAAGGTTGTGCTCAGAAACTTGCTCTCTAATTTTCAATTGCTTCCTTGAAAGTAGTTGTGCACATATGTATGTACACTAAAAAATGACCTGAATACACATGAGTGTGATGCACTAATTTATCATACAAAATGTGTACTGTATATACGGCACATGGTAATAAAAATAAACAAAGCTGTAGAATATAATAAAACATTCCATTTAAAGTAAATACACTTACTACCTTAAAAGCCCTATTAATATGATTTTCTTTTAGAAAAAATCTAAATTAAACATTTACAATCTGCTTGAAGCAAATTTTTAGTTGACAAAATAGTATGATAACATTTTAGGAATTAAAAATAGACTCAGTTAAAATTTGTGAGTTAATAGCTGCATGTCATGATTGATGTTTTATGTGAAGGAAAAGGATCATGCTAACATGAAATGCCAATAATAGAGAAAACTAGTGCTGGATAATGAAACTTTCTCTCTATATAGGGAAGCTTACATTTGGTCTCACACAGATGGTGCCATACTGTGTCTTTTGAACAGTAATGCATGACCATGTCCTGGAGTCTCGGGCTGCTCGGTTCCATGTAAGCTCTGCTGGAGGATGTATCTGAGGTGAGGGGCCCCTGATGTAGAACTTCTCAGCATATTCAGTTTCTCCAACCTCTGGATCAGTCCATTTCATCCATTCCAGGCACAGACCAGGGCCTCTGTCACAACATTGTATGAGGCAGTCTGTGAAGTTATATACAGTCTCCTTACAGGAGACCTTCATTGAGGAACTGGGCTTTCTCTTTTAAACTCCAGATGGCACCAGCTGCACTTCACCTTAGGAACCTGTTGAAACCATAGCAGTGAGAGGCAGAATCAAGGGACATTTACCTTGAGGTAATTTTCCCTACCCGAGGCAATTTACCAGGGGTGCAAAATGAATTCCAGTGGGCTGCTTGGGTGTCAGTGATGCCCCTTCAGGTACCACCACAGACCAAAGCTATATGGATGCCCCCACACCATGTGTCCAGCAGAGAAAGGCAGGCCCCGGCAGTCATGGAGTTTCTCTCCACATCCTTAAAATAAAGGCCACTTACTTTATTTTCTGTCATCTAATTCAGCCAAAATCCTATCAGTTGGTTCCCTGGCCAGGAACATCAGCGCAAGTGACTCCTGGGGTCCTCCCAGTTTGAGGCCCCTGCTTATTCACGGACTAGACTGCCTCCTGGATTAATTCCTCATTTATTAACATGCTGGAGATGCTCAACTTGTCGCTGCTGGTCTGCAAAGAGAACTGCCCTAATTCATTTACTGCAGGTGAGCCAACCCCCATCCGAGAATCACTCCATAATTTTGAGCTGGGCCCGCACTGGATCTTCCTTTTCCATCACTGAACTGAGGTAGTGGTTCTCACATTCCTTCGTGCACTGAGGAGGGATTGAGAAATTGAGAGATTACCTGAGGCAGAACCATTACTGTAGTCTCCTGGGACTGAACCCGTGTGTTTTGGTGATGGCTACAGGGCAAGCGTTGGAACCAATTAACCGTTCATCCAAAAGATTAGGTGACAACCTGCTTCTGGATTAGCCAAACTCCACTTTTGGCTCATTTTAATTTTATTCAATAGTGGGAAATACTTTTTCCTCTTCCCAAGTAAATACACTTCTGGGCTGCCTGGTTCATAACCTTGGTGGTCTTGGCCTCTAAAGGGCTATGCAAAACCAGAAAGCTGATCGTTTATGTATGTTTTCATCATGATGGTGGCAAGTTGGCAGAAGCTCTTCATCTTTAGGCCTTTTTCACTCTAAGGATGTATCTTTCACTCTGCTCCTCCAGGATCTCTCCACCGCCCAACACTTAGGATGCAGCTCCTTTCTTTACCAGTTTCTTGTCTGAATGTCACACACCAAATTCTGCAGCTTTCTCAGCCAAAGCCTGACATTTCTGCATGGTCTTCACCTCCCTCTTCACCCATCTCGCTCCAATTTCTCAATCCCTCCTCAGTGCACGAAGGTGGCTGGGATGGGTGCAGGTGCACATGGACTGTGTTTATCTGTGCACAGGCAGGTTGGATGGCAACGGCGCGTGGTACACACAGACTAGCCTGTGTGGGCTGCTCTGGGATCTCACACCATGTGCTAACTCTGCACTTCCCCTGTGGGCTCCATGTGCCTCCCAGGCAGCCCCATACACTGTGTGTGGCTCAGCTCAGGCCAGACCAGGAGTCTGGTTCCAGGTAGCAGTGCAGAAGAGGTGGTGACAGGATGATGGGGTGGGGGTGGGAGGCAAGGGTCGCCCAGCAAGGTGGCAAGGTGTAGTGCCCTGGCAGTCTTTTTTTTTTAAACTTTCTGAGCTATCTCAGATTAGCCATAAAATAGATTCCTTTTCTGGTATTCATATTTCAAGAGATCTCTATTAATTGGTCTACAAGAAGCTTCAAACTAGTCTATGTATTATAGTTCAGATTGGCCAAATGTATTTGAGTGAACTCTAATTTTATAAGATGAGTGTCAGTCTATATATCTGTTATCTGTTTGTTCAGTTCATTTATAATGTACAGATCATCTACCCATGTTTATCAATTTGCCTGCTCTGTAAACAACTGTTCATTTTTATTTGAGCTCAACAATCTTTTTGCCTCTTTTAGCAATTTTCAAACCATTTAATCAAATTTTATTTGGGTTATAGTTTTAGAAAACATGATTCACCTAGTTTGCCAACTGGTCAAATTGATGCAAAAATTGGTTAAACAAAATCCCTTGTGGTGAGGAGACACTGGACAGGACTTCAAATGATAAACAGGAAAGAGGCCACCTGGTAATTTTAAGCAGTTCTTGTTCATTAATTAGAGCCCCCAATAATCTCCATAGCCTTATGGCAGATACCTCATCTAAAGGTCATATAACTAAGACAATTCATTGTTGCTAATCTGATAGTATATTCATGCCTTCAGATATAAAATTGGGATTGTTTTTGATGACTTTTTCTTGATTTCTAATCAGGAGATTCAGATCAGACCAACCCAAGGTCACCAGTCAAATAATTTTTAAACAAAAAGTCATTTAATTATGATGACAAGTGTTTCTTTTCAAAACCAGACATATGCTTAGAGATGCTTCACAAACTTCTTTAGTGCTCAAATGTTAAAATACCCATGGTTAATAGCCATTTAACATTCCAAGTTAAGCTTACTGCCTATACTGTGCTGTATTGTTATCAATCTTCTGGATGTTCAACAACTGAAATTAAGAGATAATTATAAATTCCTTTTGCTAGGATCCACTGGATATTTTCCAAAAAAAAAAAAAAAAAGATTATATGATACATGCAGAACGGAGACCAGCACAGGGGGAGGGGTCAGGTTTGCGCCCTTCCCAGCCTGTCTGCTGGCCCTGGCTCAGCTCTCCACCGAGCCATAATTAACTATAGTCATCTGACATTAAATGACACTGTAGCTGATCTCTTTCCTAAATAAAAGAGCAAAATTAATAAAACAGGCCATGCTCCAAAAATCAGATGCCATTAGACATTCTAACAACATAAGAGGTACTTATATATTACAAATGAATGGCATGTGAGTTTCTAGAATTCCCTGGAACTTATCCTCCTTATGAGAAGCCATTACTAAAATTATAATCATAAATACCCTGTTGATTGTATTATTTGACTCCTGCATACTTAAATGATTCTTTGCCTTTGTCTCCTTTTGACTTAATTGGTACACCTACGCAAGATAAAAACCAAATGTCTTGTTACAGAAAAAGAGACAGATACCTTCCACTGTGGGCCAGATCCCAAGACAAAAGGCTAAATTTGGTCCTCAAACCCACAGAGAGAACTTCTTAATATGTTTTCAACAACAGAAATAAAACATAATCTAATCAACACTTGGAACACTGAGACAGGTAAGCTGACAAAAGGTAGAGCTGCCTGAGCCGCTCCCAGACCATGCTTCAAGAGCAGCAAGGAAGGACATTGCACAAGAGAATGTCTCAATCCTGGCATTCCTTTGGGACCTGGCCCCAGGGCCACTGGACTGTATTAGCTGCTAGAGAGTTGGTAAGCCACCTTCTAATTCCTTGACCACACAGGAAGTTCCATCACTGCCAGTTTCATGGCTGCCAGATCTGCTCAGAATTGCTGCTGAAGACTAATGGGTCTTGTGGCCCACAGCCCCCAGTAAGGTGTCCTTTTCAGAGCCCTAAATCCCACTAGATGTCTCAGGTTAAGATATTCTCTATACTTAAGTCCTCAGCCTCTATAGTAGGTGTTGATGACCAGCCTATGCAGTATTTATAGACATGGCCTTATTCATGCAGGTCCCAGATTAATTTCTTCTCTGGTCAATTCCATAGTTTGGCATACCTCTAATCTCACCTGTGCTGCCCATGCCATGCCTCACCACTCATATATAGACATAGTCATAGAACTCATATTAGTAATTTTGTAATAGATCTTTAAAATGCCTTTTTTATTCCTTTGTGTTTACGCAGACTGACCCAGACACTCTGAGAGCTCAACAGCTTACACTAGTTATCTCTAGTAAAATCTCTCCTCAGGGACACATAGTAACCCCTTCCTTTCCTATTTATCAATTTCTCAGATACAACACTGGTCCAGACTGACAGATTTTACACACCTGCCCTGCCACAAAATTCTCAAATATCTGTCACCTTTGTTTGTACTTTTCCAAGATAGACAAAAGCCTTTTCTACAACAAGGGGAACTACTGTTATACTTACTAAAGTCCTGGTACAGCAAATCATCCCAAGAGTACAACCAAGGTAGTGTGGCCCAATGGTCTTCTTGGCATCCCCAAAAGAGCTCAGAGTTGCTAAACTGCCATCCTGCTTCCACATTCCTCAAATGGTGCCCTCCCAGCCCTAAATCTAATTATCTTTTCACCCACTCATCTCTGTTTCACCAAGTCCTCACAGCCACAACTCTTGGTCTATGTCATTTTGTTATCCAGTTTGATTCCTAATTTCTTACATTTTATTAATTATCCTTTTTACAATAGGACTCTTAACAATCTTTCTTAAAGACTCCCACATAATGTGTAAGATTGTCTTCATACTGTTCTATGTGACAACTGTCTTAGTTCTCTCTACCCTCAGCTGATGGTCAAACATGACATCCCTGAAGGGCTAGGCTCTTACCTTCCCTTCAGTGACATAGCCATGGCCATCCCCACTCCTCTTATTATTTCCAGCTCAGCTCCTGGAGCAGAGACAAGTCCACCCTACCTACTCTCTTAACTTTTACCCTTTCAGAAGCCAGAATAATCACCTGTCATAACTTCACTCCTTCTAACCCCACACTTATTTTTTCAGAATTCTACCTCACCATGGTAATGATTATAGATATTTAAATCAAAGGCATATTTCCTTCTACCTCACCTGGGTCCTTAAATATGATAGTGGCCTGTCTCCTCATAGCACCTTGTCTCTTTATTTTTCCAGTCTAACATGCAGGCATTCACCAATGATAAAGTTGTCCTGACTGAAACACCTGGCACCAGCTTCTGCCTGGGCATCAACCATCATCCCATCAACCTTCATAAACCCCAATATGGCACCTCTTTTAATCAGGAAGTAGTAAGAGAGAGAAAAACTTTGTCCTTTTCCTAACAATAAAAAAAGAGGAATGAAAGGATTTTTCCCTAGATAGGACACTACAGAGGTGGGAGGTGGC